TTCCAGCCTGGGTGAGCTACCTCTCACCCCAGGGCTCCACCCAGCCTTGGAATCACGCTCAGCTCCTCTCTTTCTCTCACACTCCACATCTCCTCCACCAGTAAAACTTTGTTAGATCCTCAAAAGAGGTCCCAAACCTGACCCATTTCATCATCTCGCTGCTTGACCTGAGCCATAGACACGCCTGCCTGGACTATTACAGCAGCCTCCAAGCTGCTCTCTGCCCTCTTTTCTGCTCCACATCAGTCTAACAGGAGCCAGAGTGATTTTTTAAAACCATGTTCTAAATCAAATTATGTCCCTCCCCTGCTTTCAACCTCCAGGGCTTCCTGCCATTTGTAGCATAGATTCTAAACTCCTACCACAGACCACAAGGCCTCTAATCTCACTGTGGACACAGAACTGCAGGCCTACTGGACTGCTGGCTATTCCTTACATAGGCCAAGCTTGCTTGGGCCTCAGGGCCTTTATACTTGCTGTCCTCTCTATGTAGAATGTTTTTCCTCCCAGTGTCTGCTTGGTTCACACTTCAGTTAATTTAGGTCTTTGCTTACATGTCATCTCCTTGGAGAAGGCTTCCTGATCATCCAAAGAGTCTTTCTAGTCAGTCTTCTGTTCCCACACCCTGCCTTTTTCTCTTTGTTTTACTTATTACCAACTGCCAATTATATACGTGTATGTATTTAACTTTTTATTATGGAAAGCTTCAAACATGCAGCAATAGAGAAACTAATACAGTACAGTGGATCCCCATGTGCTATACCTCAGACTCAAGTTTTCAACCCTGGGCAATATTTTGTTCTCCCACATCCTTTGCTTCCCACAAACTCCAGATATCACACAATCTTATCTGTAAATACTTCAGTGCAAAAGTTAGATTTTACATGTATCTGTTTGTTAGGAGGCAGCCTTCAGGGCAGTTGACGTTTGTCTGTCTTGCTTACTGCTGTGTCCTCAGTGCTTAGAACAGTACCTGGCTCACAGCAGGTGATTTGAGATGCCTGCTAGGCTGTGTCTCAGGTCTCCGAGGAGGGTGTGTTCAGGTTCTAGTTTGCACAGGCCCACTGCAGCCAGTGAGTACGCCTGCACACGACTGTGCACAGCTGCATGGGGCAGTCCCAAGAATATGTGTGCGTGTGCATGTGTGCTGCCACGGCAACTGGGTTCTGAATGCATGCTTCCACCCTGACATCATCTCCCACCTTCCAGGACCCAGGACTTGCTCTGGGGAGTATTTCTGTCTTTCTCAGCAAGGCATGGGTGTGAAGGGATAGGAGAGGGTAAGCGCCAGTCCCTGCCCCACCCTCTGGAAGGCTGGCTTGAAGCCAAGGTGGCCTAGAGAGCCCTTCCCTGTCCTTCTCTGGCTAACAGGAGGCTGTGTTGTCCCAGTTGGCAGAGTGGGAAACCTCCTTCTTCCCTGGCACTGAAGCTCAGTCCAGTATTGCTGGCATCGGCTGGGTGGGGTATAGGGTATGCATGTATGCAGGGTGGGGATATCCCTTCCTGGCCAACTCCTGAGGCTCCTAGGATGACTCCTGGGTAGTTGGACAACTGAGGCCACTCAAACTAGGGGCAACTGGGTACAAAGTTCTGGCCCAGGGTCTTAGCAGTCCCTCCCCCCATTTCTTCATCTTAAAGAATTTGACCCTGAGAGGTGGGCAGTGGTGGAAGAACATGCCTCCAGTCCAGTACGAGGTTTACTCCTGGGGCCTCTCCCTAACAGGTTGGGCCTTTCGCAGCTTCTTTCAGCCTGGTCCCCAAAGCCCCGGTCTCCTCCAGGAAGCCTGTGTTCTGGCCCTCCTTGAACCCACCCATCCCATCCTGCCCTCTTCCTCCAAGGTAGGCCATATGGTCCCAGCCGCCCCCCCCCCAACCTCAGGGGTAGTCCTCTGAATCAGCGGGGGAGGGGTGGAGAAAGGGAGGTCAGAGTGGGGTTGCTAGCTTCTACCCCAGAATTTAACTCCTTGCTGCACAGCTTACTCTCCCTTCCAGAACCCAGCAGAGATGAGTGCCTCGATGTGCTCTTTTCCAGAAGGGGAATGCATGCATTTGACTTTCCAGGATGACTGAGCATTTGTTTAGCACCTACTATGTGCCAGGCACTAGTGATGGCTGTAGTAAATTATAATAATAACAAAAATATCAACTTTGAACATTTGTTAAGCATCTAGAATATGCCAGACAATTCCCATGTGCTAGGCAATTCAAAATCATCACCATTATAACAACACTAATCATATGGTGAACACTTACTAAGCATTTACTATGTATGATGCTATTCTAAGAGCACTCTCACAACAAAGACTATTTGAAAAGAAATCTTGGTCAGTTGCTCTGTTTTGATAGGTCCTAACTCCAACAGATAAGTGGGACCTGGTCTGGGGCCACCTGCTAGCCACATCTCATGGGTACCGATATGGATGGGCAATGGGGCAGAAATAAAGACAGGGGGTGGGGCTTTAGGCAGAAACCAGGGACCAAGCTCCTCCAGGCTTAGATCCATACTGTCTTGGGTTAATGATCCCACCTGAGTTAGAGTAGGTAGGTGGACTTGCACAAGTTCATTGAGCAGAGACAGTCACCAGCCCTGCCCTCCCTCCTTTAGGTCATGGGTTCTGTCCCTAGATTCTGAGGTTCTCAGGGTAGATCATGGGACAGAGGGTCTGAGGTCCTATGGTCTGGAATCTTCTTGGGGTTCATGGGCTCTGCCCCACTTGCCTGTCTGGATGCCATGCCCACAAGGAGACCTCTTACCAAGGTTGAGTCAGAAGGGGCCTTTCTGTCCTGAGTCACTTCCACGACTCTACCAGCTTTGCCTACCTGCCTGCTCGCTCAATGACCCTTTAGAACAGGCTCCACCTTCCCCAACAAGACCCTGGTTCTTGGAGGTCACTGCCAAGGCCAGAGTGTCTGATATTTCTGGCCCACTCACACTTACCCAATGCCTCTCTTGGTGCCCAGGGTTCCACTGCTGAGAGATGTGTCCTTGGCATCTGGAGGGGCTCTGAGCTTCTAGAAATTATTCTGTGTGGTTGTGACAGTTACTCCCATAAGGCTGGGACTCTGAGCCCTCCGATCGATTGCATGCAGAGTCCTCTGGGTGGGTAGCAGTGGGGGCACCTTTGGCTCTACTGTGCTCCTTCCTCTTGAAGGTTAGGTCAGGTGAGTGCTGTAGTCATTAGATCAGCTGGCACAGGAGATTCTGAGGATGGGCTGTAGGGCAGGAGAAGGCTGAGTAGGAGGGGTCTCTGCCTTGTTTCTTCCTTCTGCCCCATGTAATCAACTTTGATTCTATTTGTGGTGGGCTCTCATGTATGATTTGGTGAAAGTGGATAGATCTGGGATATCTGGGTTGGAAGGAGCCATAGGGAGAGAGAGAGGTGTGAGCTCTGAAGAATCTGAAAGGGACAGATTAAACTTGCTCCTTAGAAACTTAGGGCCTGGGGTCAGTTCTGCCTGGGCCCTGAAAGGTATCTGGGAGCCAGAGCAACAACTGGGAGCCCAGCCAGCATCCCTGGGAATGAGGGAAGCAGGGGAACCAGTGGCAACTCAAGAAAGGAGGTCCAGTTGGAATTGGTGGTTAGAGACTTCTTGGCCTATGTGGGGAGGGGCTATAGTCGGGTGATAGATGTTTGCTGAACATCTACTGTACACCTGACCCTGGGCCAGGCTGGGTACTGCCCTGAAGGAGCACACAGCAAAGAATTATGTTTACTGTAAAAGGTACTGAGGAACCTCACTCATGCCAGGGTCACAGCAATCTGGAAGGGGAGGGGAGTTGGGTCCTAGGACCAGGGCAGCACCTAGACTGGGGGTCATGGACAATATTTGTTTTGGGGGACAGAAGGGACAGTTAGTGTAGCAGTGTCTCTAGCTTCCACCCTCTGTGGGACAGAGAACTCTTGGGAGCCCAGCCCCTCCTTCCTGACCAGGCTTGGTGGAAGCCTGACAAACAGGTAGCTCCTCCCCTGTCTCTGCTGACCCCTCTGCTCTGCCATGGCTGAGACAGGTGACCAGCTGGTGACTTTGCCTGGACACCTCCCTTTGTCCTTCACTCTGTATGTGAGACCCAGACAGGTGGGTCGAAGCCAGGGAGAGGACCAAGCTGGGTTGCAGAAGGCAGGGTGTAAGGAGCTGCTGCACTTCACAGGGACCAGTCTTTGGGACGTAAGGGTGAGAGTGGGCTTCTTCCTAAAGACACTCCCTGCTGGATTGGACCTGGCTTCCAGCCTCACCCTCCTCTGCTTCCTTCTTTGCCTGGAGGCCCCTGGAGTAGGAACCCCCACATCAGAACCCTATTCCCAGCCCTGGCTGGTGTGGCTCAGTGGATTGAACACCGGCCTGAGAACCAAAGGGTGACAGGCTCGATTGCCAGTTAGGGCACATGCCTGGGTTGCGGGCCAGGTCCCCAGTAGGGGGTACGTGAGAGGCAACCACACATTGATATTTCTCTCCCTCTCTTTCTCCTTCCCTTCCCCTCTCTAAAAAATAAATAAATACAATCTTAAAAAATAAAAATAAACAAATAAAAAATTTATAAAAAGAACCCTATCCCCCCAAATATATGCGGTATATAGGCACTTCAAAGGAGTGTGGGGGAGAAGGACAGGGAGCCCAGGGTTAGGTGGTTAGTAGATGTTCAGATACTACTCTTGATCTTAGCCAAAAGGCTGAGGAGAGATTAGTCGATGTTCAATGAACATCCACTTCGAGTGGAGTGAAAGACAGTGGAACAGAGTCATAAGGTCTGACCTCCTTCCAGGCTGAGTGACTGCCATAGTGCAATGAGTTTCAACCATGTGCCACAAAAGTTTTTTACGACATGCAGAACCTGACTCTTTTAGTCAGGGGCACTGACCTCTTTTCCTTTAGATCGTCAAATAAAAAATGACAACATCCAATACAACAATAGCTATTTGGTGTGAATGAATCAAAATTATATTTTAAAAATATAATTTTATTTTATTGATTATACTATTACAGTTGTCCTGATTGCCCCCCTTTGCTCCTCATACCTATTTTTTTGTCAGATCGGCAAAAATTGTATTTTTTGGTGTGCTGCACAATTTTAGTAATTAGTTTCTGTACCATGAGATGAAAAAAAGGATTGAAAATCGCTGCCTAGTGTGACATTTGCCTGGTCCCTGTCTCTTCTGACTCGGTTTCCCCAGTGGTTGAGGGGGAAGACTTAGTGTGTCTTCAATTTTGCTCTTTGGTTGTGTTCTAAGTACCTGGGACTTTGTTCAAATGCAGTGTGTGATTCAGAACTCTGGGGTGCACCTGAGATTCCTCATTTCCAGCAAGCTCCCAGGTGTTGCTGGTCCCTAGACCCTACTTTGAGCAGTAAAGACTTAGAGAACTCATTGAATTTGGGCCTTCAGGACTGGTCACTTGAGTCCTTTGTGACCTTACCAGCCATCAGAAGGAAGCCTTGGGATTAGCTCCCAGCTCCAGGCTAACAGAGTTGGCAGTTCCAAGCTTTGAAGCCGGGGAGCTCCTCCAGCCCCCAGTAAGGCTGTGTTTAGGTAGAAAAGTCCCTTCTTGGCCACTGGTTGATTTAACCAAGGGCTGCCTCAGTCTTTAGGAGCTCTTAGGACACCTGAAACATGAAGGAACACTGTAAAGTTTAGAAGTTATCCTAGAGGCCACAGGTGCCCTTTGAGAAGCTGGCACCCTTTATGAGGATAGCAGCTCTCAGTTAAATTATGCATCTCATTGCACTGAGAATAGAAATGTAATCAGGAGGTAAGCTGGGCATGCTAGGCTTGGCAGCTGCATGGCTGCCCCTTCCTAGGAAAATCCCACACTCTTTAAGGAGAGAAGGATGCAGGCAGAGCCAGCTGCCCTCTCACTCTGAGCTCCGCCTCATCAGCCAGCTCCAACCACGGGGCTAGGGCATACATCATGGTGTGCTAGGTACTCACTGGCAGGTCTGGGGCTCTTCAGGAAGGGATGGAGGGATTCCTATTTGCAGTTCCCGCAGCAGTTTTGGCACAAAATGAGCTTGGCAACACCTGAATAATCATAGCAGTAACTACATGACATTAACTAAGAGGACCTACAGTGGGCCAGGTGCTGTGGAGAGAGCTCCTGCTCCACGCACTTGCTAGGGCTCCCTCACCTGTTATGGCCGGGAACAGGAGACTCAACTAGGGAGCTCTGGGGAGCTGCACAAGTATGTCTGCTGTTTCTTTAAGATATGGAATATTCAGGGCCCAGAGGAAAATGTCAGCAGTTCACATTGGTCAGCAGGAAGTGGTAGTGGGGGACCATTTCTCCTGCTTCCTATCGGAGAATGATGGTTCTAACTCTGTGTTTCCCAGCAGCAATAGCAACTCCACTTAAAGGGCCAGCCTCTAGAATGAGGAGAGGGGCTGAAAGTGAGTCCTTTCTCACTTAAGAGGTTAAACCATTTACGTTGGTGGGCAGGGCTCCTAAGCTGGGGATCTCTCTGGAACCCCTATCCTGTTCCTCACACTCACTCCAATGCCACCTTTCCCACTGTGGGGCACTTCCCCAATCTGCTGATGTCACCTTGGTTCCCTGGATGGGCAGGGCATCATGGCCCTTGGCTCAATGTGCTAGTTGCTGGGACTGTGGGAAGGCCACAGGCAAGAAGCATATATCCCCAAAGTTTGTGTGTACAAGTATGTATTAGGTAGGTAGGTGTTTATCTCTGTGTTGGATGTCTGAAGAGCTGAAGGTGCACAGCTGTTTGTACAAGTGCACATTGTGTGTATGTGAGAAAGAGGGTCAGAGGCTTCCAGACATTTCTGATCACTTGTATACAGGTTGGCTTCCATCCTCAGTGCCTGGGAGGAGTTGGCTCTTTACCAGAAGGAGGTGGTGAATTATTTAGTGAAGTGGATAGCAACCCCCTTAAGCTTCAGAGGCATATCTGAAATTTGCAAGATCCTGGAAGAGCTGTTGGCCCCAAGCCTTGGGTGCCAGCCCACTGTCCAACAGAAGTTTAGAGGAGCTGGAGTAGACACTGGGGGCAGGGCAGGCTGGCCTGCGTGAACAGAGAGGGTTGGGTCAGTCCTCTGGGGGAAATCCAAGCTGAGGCCAGATCCTGCCTCTCAGGACTGTCACCCTTGTCTCAATTTACAGTTCCAAGGAAACTGGTTGCTCTGGGTGGAGACTGGTCCCAGATACCAGGGCCCCGAGGATCCAGTCCTGGGCTTTTGGGAGAGATTGGGCAAAGCATGGGGTATGGCTTGTAGACACCCTTGACAAGGCCCTGTATGAGGCTGGCCTAGAGAGTGCTGAAGAGACCCAGAAGTCGGGCCAGGATTTTGAGCTGTGGGTATTGAGGGATCTCTGTGGGCCTCCCCACCTATGGCTCCTGGCTGCCCTCCAGGGCAAGCTTTTCACTGTGGCAACAAGAGCTGGCTAGGCCTAGGGGTCTGGTCTACTGTACTGCTGCCTTGCTGAGTGTGACACCCTTTCCCTCTCTGACTCTGTCTCCCTGTGATCCCTGGGCTCTTTCAGCAGTGACATGCCAGGATTCCAGGGGCCCTCTTGAACCTTCTGAGAGAGTGGAGAGGATCAAGGCAGCCAGATGCTGAGATGTAAAGGGCATTAGAGGGAGGGGTGGTCCAGGGACAGCTTGTGGAGAAGAGGGGATCTTCTTTCTAGCCCTAGTTCCTGGTTTAGATGTGACAGATGTCGAAGCACAGGGAAGAGGTGACTCTGCTCCCCAGGTGCAGGTCAACAGCCAAAGGCTGTCTGGGGCACTTGATCTCCAATCTGGCTGTGCTCAGAAACCTGCCTCCTACCCCACCCCAGAGCTCAGACACCTCTCATGCTGCTTCTGGGGACTTCACGTGGGGTATCCCCTGGGACCCACAATCTGTCTCCATTGCAACCCTGGGAGAGACCCTCAAAGGGGAAAGAACCAGAGGGCGGTGGCTCCACAGGAACTCATAGGGGCCTCCTGGAGACACTGTGTCTCAAACTCACTCCTAATCAAATGACAACCTCTCAGGCCACACACAGGGACAGCTCTCAGAATCCTGCTGCTTACTCTGCCTTTGAGAAGTAGTGCCCCTTGGGCCTCTTGTTGGAAGGGTAGAGGCCAGCAGAAATCTTCCTTGTGAAAATCTCCAGTGAGCTGAGGGAAGGCACCTGTGGGTGCAGTGCCTCAGCCTACTCATCAGCACCAGGGTCCAGGCTTGGGGTCCCCATGTTCCCTTCACTTTCCTCACTTTTTCTGTTCTGACCTCTTGCGAGGTGGGTGGGGAGGGACAGAGCCGTCCCTGAGTTTTGGGAGGCCAAAACTCAGGCTAAAAAAATCTAGGGCTGGACGCTGAACATCCCTTAGTTTCCTTTTTTGCTTTAAGTTCCTCGGAGAGGGCCTAGCCTATGTCTACTAAACCAAAGGACTTGGTCCCATCCCACAAAGAGGAGGCAGAGATTTGGAAGGCTCCAGGAGGTAGAAGTACAGGGCTCCTGTGGCCCTGGCCACACTGCTGGTTGAGGCTTAAGGGAGTGCAGGTTGGTGAGGACAAGGGTCCAGTGCATGGTCAGACAAACAACACACAAGCTGTCCAGAACCTCTGAAGCACCGTTTATCCAGGCCGCATGGAGCCAAGTGCCCCCAACTGCCTGCCCCCCAGCTGTCAGGGGAATACAGGCACTACAGTGTCTGTGGCCTCAGACCCCGCATGCTCCCCAGCCTAACCCTCTGCAGGGCCACAGACCCGTTTGCTTAGCTCTCAGCCTGTGAATGAATTGGCCTCCATCTCACACTGCCAGGGGCTCCATCAGTGTGGGCTAGCTAAGCGCCGTGTTAAATAGCTTCCTTGTAATCCCCCTTAAATAAACCTGTCCCTAGAGCAGCCCACCAAACTTGCATTCTGAACATATTCTACTGGCTTATGCCTTCCAGGGAGTAAAGGGTCCCTTTCTTTCTGCTCTCTGCTCTGGGGAATGCCATCTCCCTAAAAGACCAGAGGGAAAAGTTTTCTCTGAACCCTGGGGCAGAGACAAGGGGAGGCCTGGTGTGGAGGGAACACCCAGGAACCCATGTATGCCCCTCCCTTTCTCCTCCTCGTCCTTAAGAGGATCAGGAGTGACTCACCCAAGGTCACAGATCCAGGACCCAGAGTTCTCACCCATGTAGGAGGTTGCTCTGGTTTTGACAGCTCAAAGTAGCTCCAGGGCAAGGGACTGACTCTCTGAGCCTGCCTCTGCCCTTGGCCCCTGTAGTTCTCTGCATGGAATAGGCTGGGGAGATGCCAGTTTTGACTGTACTCTGTCCCGGACCTCTGCAGATTTCTCCCAGCACCCTCCATCCCTGGCATCCTCAGGTCTCTGTGGCCCTGGGGACACTCAGACAGCACCAGGGCATGGGAGCAGTGGTGCTGGGGCCTGAGGAAGCTTGTTCCTGGCCCTTCAGTGTCTGGGCCCAGGCCAGGCCTTACACCCAATACTGGCCATTTTTGAGGGCAGGGTTGGCTGTCCGGCAGAACTGTAGCAGCTCTGGGTCTGGATGGCCCCCTGGCGAGGGCCCTTGGCCAGTCAAGTTCGTGAGTGGGATGGCTTGGCTGGGGTCGACTTTGCGAAAGGTCTCCGTGTCACTGGCCAGGCCATCACGGGGCTTGGCTGCCAGCACCTGGACATGGTGCTTGCCTGTCTTGTTGCGTTTGCGGAGGTAGAAGAACAGGGGCAGGATGAGTGCCAGGAGCAGGAGGACCAGGCACACAGGGATGATGATGCTGAACATGTTGGCCTCGAGGAAGCCCAGGAAGCCCTCTGTTGCCACAGTGGGCACAGGGCTGGAGGCCGCCAGGCCTGGCTCGCCAGTTGGAGGGCTACTCTCTGGCCTCTCTGCTTCTGTCTGAGCAGCCTCAGGGAGACTGAACAAGGCCACGCTGTAGGGTTGGGCCGCATTGTAAGGCTCAGTAGCAAAGTCCAGCGAGACCACAGCAGGTGGGACACCTCTTGCCCATAGCTCCAGAGTGAGACTGTCACCTGCAGGGCCTGGGGACCTACCCTCTGGCCTGCGTATCTCCAGCCCCAGCCTTCCATCCTCAAGGTCCTGCTGTGTGAAGTGCTCCACAGGCCGGCTGTCCCTGGGCTCTGTTCTGGCCCCAGGCACATGGACCAAGCGGCCATATTGGGGTCCCACCAGAAGCCGGAAACGGGGTACACTGCCTGTGCGGTTGGCCAACTCACCTGCATTTAGGATGGTGGAGTCCAGGCGCAGGGTGGTACCCTGGGGCCATGGCCCATCTGCCCACACATGCAGCAGAGCCCTCACAGTGACATTCACTGTGGCTGATGTGTTGGCACCCCTGGCCAGTGCCAGGACATTGAAGTGGTCATGGGAGGAGGAGAAGTTGGTAAAAGCAAAGGCCACCTCACCTTGGTCTACCTGGAGCTGGCTGAAGGCTGTGGCTGGCTGCCCACCCACTAGGAGATGACCGTACTTGGGCCCCTGGGTGAGGTGGTATATAGCATCTGGCTCCTCCCGGTCTGAAACCACCTGGAGCTGTTGCCGGCTCAGTGAGGATCGCCCTAAGGCTTGGGGTACCTCTAGGGGTGCCTGCAGCTGTACCTCAATCGTGGATGGCAAGACATCCACAACCAGGGACATGGGCAGGGGTGGACTGGCTCCATCAGATACGCTCAGCTGGAAGATGCCTGCCACACTGCTCCCATTGGCCACGAAGGCCAGCCGCCCTGCATCCACATCGGCCTGTGTGAAGTGGGTCACAGGCCCTGCACTGGCTCCTGCCAGGCTCAGGAAGCCATTGTGGGGTGCCCGTTGCACCTTGAACTCGATCTCCTCGGGAGCTGAGTCTGGGTCCAGCACACTCAGCTGGGCCCGGGAGATTGAGGCGCGGGAGCCTCGGGTGAGCTGGAGTGGGACAGAGGCCTGTGGTTGAGGTGGCTGCTCGTTCACATCTTGCACTGAGATGACGAAGGCCTCTGCTGTTTGAGGTCCCACCAAGGAGGCCCCCGCTGGCCCCTGGAGGTGGGCATGGAAGTGGAAGCTATCCGGCTGAGTGCCCCCACCCCTGTGGGCATACACCAGATGTCCTGCAGCCAGCTGGGACTGCAGGAAGTGGGGCTGCCGGGCATGGAGGGGCTCCTCAGACAGCAACAGCTGGCCCTGGGTGGGAAACTGCGTGACCTGGAACAGTACATCGTACTCTGGGCGCTGCGGCAACATGACACTGGCCAGGAGGTTGGAGGCATCAAGGGTAGCTCTGGTGATCTTGGCCCGCTGGCCTTTGAGGACCCAGAGACCTGGGGGTAGAACACAGGCTATGAAGGTCCAGTCCAATGAAGAGTCATGGACCCTCAGACTGGGGCCCCCAAGGCATGGTTTGCCTCCCCCCTCAGACCAGGTACCCAAAGATGGGGTTCAGAGGTTCCAGGAGGAATAAGGGCCATGTCTCCTTTCTGACCTCAAAGCCTCTCCATCTGCCCACCCTCCTTATAACATCCCAGGTCCTGGGGCTGACCTTGGCTTTGTGTCCCCTCCTCTCTGGTCCTCTCCCAGTGTCCCCCTAATTTTGTCAGCCTGTCATGCTGTTCACCTTTGTTCCTCCAGAGGCGGCTAGAGTGCTGGGGACAGGCAGCCTCAAAAGACACAGCCACAGCAAGGGTGGTGGCCAAATCGGGGGCAGGGGGCGAGACCAGCCGAAGCTTCACAGTGTCATGGGCTTCCCAGAAGGGCTCAGCAGGCATCTTGTGCTCATAGAGAACATTTCCAGCATACACCTGTGGGAGATCCATGTTGTTAGGGTGAGGCAGGTCCAAACTGTGTGCCCAGCAGCCCCTTCCCAGGCTGGCACTGAGCACTCTGACACCTCCCCAGATCACCCCTCAGTGCCAGCCTCCATCTAGGCTCTCCCAGTTGTGTCTGCCTGTATATCTGTAACCTGCACTTTCCATCACTGGCTAAGTGGGTCACCACTAGACGGTCATGTGGCAGTGAAGACCCAGGTTCTACAGCCAGATGCCTGTGTCAAATCTGAACTCTGCCGCCTTGGGCAAATCTCTTCTCTGAGCCTCAGGGGAAAGAAATACTCCATTCTTGGTTTTCTTCTTACCTCAGTAGTTGCTACTTCACAGACTCTCTTAGTCCCTCTACTTCTCCCCAGCATCTGTGGATGGGCCTTGAGACTCTTCTCCATCGACAGGCAGGCCCCTGCACACTCATTCAGTCCTCAGTGCCAGCTCTGTGGATGACCCCCTTATGTGTGTCTCCTACCTGGACTGCTCCCTCTGGAACCCTAGCTTCTCATATCCACCTGTGTCCTTGGCAGCTCCTAGGGGATTGTCTAGTAGGCATCTCCAACTCTGCATGTGCCATGCGGACTCCTGATCTGCCCACGTCTCCATCCTCCCACTGTGGAAGGCAGCAGCTGTGTTCTTCCAAAGGCTCAAGGCAAACTCTGGCATCAATCCTGACTTCCCTCCTCTCCCCACGCCTCACCATATCTGCCTGGATTAAGCAGGTACCCTCCTAACTGTGGCCCAGCCTTGGCCCCTGCTCCCTTCCCCTACAGTTTGTTTTTAACACAAAATCTAGAGTAAGCTTTTGAAAAGTAAGGTTATATCACTCTTGCTCAGATAATGCAGTAGCCTACCATTTGACTGCAGAGACCCTGTTGTGACCCTATTACCCCCTTCTGATCCAAATGTGTCCTCTTGGCTTATCTTTTGTTTTCTCCTTTTAGAAGACACAGAACTATTTTCCTTCTCTCAGAAAAATAGGACTTGCGCAATAGCAAGACAGAAACGGATGGTGCGGGAGACTTCTAGGAGAGCGGGGTTGTGGTGGCTGGGGAGCACAGCCCAGCTGGAGGGTGGAGGCTTCTCAGATGCCTGCTGTAAGAGGGAACACAGGCCTAGAAACTGGAAATTAGGTTTTTTGGTGAAATCTCCCAAAGGTTGTATGTTGACCATTAATTAAAAAATATTAAATGCATATGCAGGCCAGTTAAAACACATTTGTCGGCCAGATGTGGCCTGCAAGGATGGCCAGCTGTAACCTTTGGCTCAGGCTGAAGGGTGGGCAGGAAGGAAATGAAGACCCCTGGGAGGCTGGATGCCTGGGTATAGAAGCATCTTGGGTGGGAGGGATCTGGTGAGGGTGGAGCAAGTCACAGACAAGGTAGAGAGGGTCCCACAGCTCTGAGAGCAAGCAGTGTCATCTGGGGAAAGAAACCTTGGACTAACAATCAGAAGGCACATTCTTGGCTTTGCCTCTTACTGGTCATGTTCTCTGAATAAATTCACTGGACCTCTGTGAGCCTCACTTTCCTAATCTGCAAAATGAGGACAAAATTTCCTCACCTGTTCCCTATCCCACCCAGCTCAGGTATTGTGGGGCAGTGGTGATGTCAGACACCAGCAAGTCCTGCCTGGCCTCCTTCCCCAAGGGCAGATGGGTCTCTGCCATGCAGCTTCCTCCCAGCTTTCCTTCATGACACGGCCAGCGCATCTCCTGGTGGCCATTTTCAGATTGCTGGGGTTTGTGGGGAAAACAATGTAGGATGGGGGCAGGGCTCTGAAGGCTGGGTCAGTCCCTCTAACTTCCTGGGCATCTGATGACAAAGGTTCCCAGGGACTTAGGGTGTACAGCTGCTGTAGCCACCAGCCTGCTGAGTATTTCATTGTAGGGAAGGGCAGGAAGGGGGCACAGCAGAAGCCAGGGCTATAGGAGAACAGAGAACCCAGGCCTGGAGTTTTTTGATAGGAGAGACCCAAGAAACCATTCCCACCCCTGTTAAAGGCCCTCCTTTCCTGAGGCCAGAAAGCTACTCACCTGCTCTGCCCTAGAAGGGGCATTAAGTGATGGTTGCTGGTACTGGTAGGTACAGTTAGCACTGAGCCGTGTGATCCCAGCAGCCTTGCAGGCTGAGTGTTTACTGATAGCCTCTGCTGTGCTCTAGGACTGTCACACCCTGCCACTGCAGTGATAGACTCACTCAGCTGCCTTCCATCCACTCATAAGCTCCCAGGACCCACTCTGCTTCTTGCTGGCCCCTGACCTGAGCCCCAGGCTCACACCTCTGTCCACAGTCCCAACAGCTTTCTTCAACTCATACTCTATCCCTAGACCAAGCACTGCCCCTCACCAGCCACTAGTGTCCCCCCACCCAGTACACATTTTTAGCCCCTAGGTCCAACTGCTGCTTCCTTGTGGAAGCCAAGCCCCAGGACCCGATCCCTGATCAGAACCCCTTTTATCTTGACCTCTTGCATTCTTCTGTAGACAAAAAAGGGCCACACGCTAAACCTGACAAACTCAGGGGATGCCTGCAGGGTGGCCTTACAAAGTCAGAGACCAAAAGAAACCGCATAGGATGATCTGAAATGAAAACTTCTTAACTAAAAGCGAATAATCATGGTAGTCCCGTCCTAGGCAGTTATCTTCCCTGACAAAGGTCAATCTTTACTTTAACTGAGCCTGTCTATTGTCTTTCTGCATCTATGATAATATAGCTTTGGAATGTCTGAGTAACCCCTTTTTCCAGACCCCTCAGGGCACAATCTCCTACCAGAGTGCAAGACCGGGGATACCCTCATTGTTATGGTTATCACATTAATAGTTAACTGCTAACTATCCTATAACCACCCAGTGTAAAAGGAGTATGTGTCTGTCTCTTCCTTTTACCTTTTATCCAATCCCAGAGATTTCCCTCGCTTTGCTTTCTGCCACCTCCCTGATCTATTACCAATGGATTTCTTATAACCCCCTTACAGCTTCTCCTTTGATTCTGATGTATAAAATAAGGTGCATAACTGCCATTCTCTGGAGCAATTTCTCAATCAGTTAAGATTTTGCTTCCTGGCAATTGGCAATTGTCAGTTTGGCTCAAATAAACTCATAAAAATTCTTACAGGTTTGGACATTTCTTATGTTGACATTTACTTGGCATAGTGCGACAGGATTCCAAAGAAGCCCACCCAGGACCACCTTGCAGACCCAGATCCCATCCTAGGTACCAGCAGGGACCCATTGTGTTCCACCTGCTCCTCATTTTGCATCAGGTGAATGTGGGTGAGTTTCACGTGGAATTTCAGACCTCCCTGTTTTAAGGTAAGAGGCTCTGTTTTTATTTGAGCTGTTTTTGTTTTTTTTTTTAAATTCCTTGAGGTAAAACTATAGGTTAAGGGTTGAGAGAACATAGGCTAAGGCAGTACAAGAGGGAAAATAGGTGGCTGATTTTTTAACTTGGTCTTTTCATTTGCAATTGCTTTCTGAGAGTCTGAACAAAAAACATTTTGCTGGGCAAATGAGAGCCTGAACTCGCTGGGTCCAGAGATAAGAAGCACTTCCTCCAGCTCAAATTTTGAGTATTCTTAGGTGGCCAAGAATCTATGTGGAAGTGTCAGAGGGTACATCTCACGATGTGCAAGAGCCCTATAAGAAATTCCAACTCGACTGTAATTAAGTTGACTCGTCTGGGAATATGTTCATGAAGGTTGGTTACCTAACACTCTGAGTCCTCATGGCTGTATTAGACAGCTGGTGAGAGAAACTGAGACACATAAGAGTGTTTGACATGACTCAGGAGGTGAGAGGTGACAGCCTTCTGGAACTCAACCCATAAGTAGCACCCTTCAACCCACCACACAATATCCCTAGAAATTTGTTCAGGCTCTACAGATCCCACAATAAAACAAAATTAACATGGGAAATCATGCCTCCAAGGTCAGAAACTCCCAGCCTCCAGCTCCCATTAACATTTCTGCAGATACAAAAGAAATAGGAAGCCTTTATCTGCAAATACTTACAGAAATGGGAAGATTTAACTAGAAATTATATCAATATAAGATGGCCAAAATGGAGGGGTTTTGGCAGGGTGGGGGGGGGGAGGCTAAATTAATTTTTTGCATCCAAAATTAGAAAATGCTGGTTCTAGCTCTGACTGGTGTTGCTCAGTGGGTTGGGCAATGTCCTGCAAACTGAAAGGTCGCCAGTTCATTTCCTGATTGGGGTACCTGCCTGGGTTTCAGGCCAGGTCCCCAGTTGGGGTACTTGAGAGGCAAACTATGGATTTTTCTCTCCCTTTCTTTCTTCCTCCCTTCCCCTCTCTCCAAAAGCACATAAATAAAATCTTAAAGAAAAAAAAGAAAATGCAGGTTCTAAAATTACATGGAATGAAAGGGAAGCATCTTGATTAGAGATTAGAAGCTTCCAGGAGAGGCACAGATATATTTGTTTTTTAAAAAGTTAATAAAAAATTTTAAAGACTGTCTTTGAACTAAAGGAGGCTTCTAAAGCTAATAAATGCCAACACTGCATTCCTGCCCCCTCTATAGTTCTCCACTACATTCTCTGCTCTCTGAGGTTCCTTGGCTAGACTGCCCTCCCCCTCCCTTTCCCTCTGTCTCTTCTACATCTCCTCCACTACCGCTCCCTGCTGACCTGGGGGACAACAAGAATAGGAATTCAGACAAGGATAATCCAGGAATTCTAGAAGCCCCCTTAGAAAAAAATCGAGTTTTAGGAACATATCCAATTGTATATGTTAAATCTTACAGATTTCCCCAATTTTCTCTGGGACCCTGATGGGTTTGCAAAGAAATTTAATTTAACTGTTAGAATATGTGATCCTGAGGCTATTCTGACCTATTCCAATTAATCTACCTACTAGCTTCTGGGAGTAAAAGCAAGAGAATTACTAAATAGGGTTTTTCTGGGAAACTCTTATAGAAGAATCTGTTTTTATTGTAGAGAGCCAGGTCACCTTAAGAAGAGTTAT